TGAATTGTGCAGAGCCTTGAGTGTTAGGCCAGGGGTCAAGGCTTGACAGTGGGGGACCAAAACAGGTCTGTGATCAAGGGAGCAGTTAGTGTAAAAAATGCCTTAGAAAAACAAATCTACTTCCAGTGGGCAGGTCAACAAGAAGAGAAAATGGGGTTATAAATCTTGACAGACACAACTGGAATCAGGAAATACTATAACTAAAGACAGTGCTTAACCCATAACTGGAACTAGGCTTAAAATATGCACACATAAAGGATGTTAGTAGCACAGACAGGGAAAGTAAAATATAAACTATTATGTTGAAGATCATTATTTATTAACATTAAATTTCTTAAATGTGTTAATTATGTTGTAGTTGTTAATTAATTATGTCACCAATAAGTATGTTAGAGAATTAGGCACAACATAAGATATAAGACAATGTCCTCGTTCTTAGAAGATGTCTGCTGAAGTACTTGGGGGTGAAAAGTTATGATGTCTGCAACTAACTTTCAGGTGGTCCGGGACAAAGAGTACATATCTAGAGAGATAAAAGCAAGTGTGCCAGATGTGAATAACTAATAGACCTGAGAACAAGATCTAAGAAGGACTCCACAGAAGAAGTGCAGGTGCTGGTGTCTGGCTGGCTACTGGGGACAAGGAAGAGGCGGGAAGGTTCTGAGTGTATGACAGAGGACGGTGGCGGCACCCCTGGAAGAGGGAAGCTGCGGGAGAAACGGTTTTCGGGAGACAGATGCTGAATCTTGCTCTGGGTAAGAAGTGGCAAGAAGAAACAAGATGCTAGAAAGAAGTGAGAAAGAAATGTCTTCTGGCAGTTGGAAAAACAGGAACAAGACTCGACCATACAACAGGACTAGAAATGACCAAGGTAGGAAGTAGCTAAATGGATAACAGTTGAAGTAGGAGAAATGGATGAGCTCTAAGAGAGGGAGAAGAGCGAGGTGAGAGCTGACTGACAACATAATTTACTGGTAAAGGGTGGGAAGAGAGGAAGAGAAAAGCCAGGAGGGGCCTGCTTGACAGAAACCAAGGCAGCATGAGGATGAAGAAGACGGTGCTCCAGAGAATGTCAATAGCACCAAACACTGCAGAAACATTTAAAAAGGTGATAACCAGCAAATGGGATGAAGAAATCACCAGTGAATTTTGGGCAGGAGTGAAAAGCAGGCGACTGGGCCCCAGAAAGTGAACAGATGAAGGGGAAATGCAGGAGAGGGCAGAGACCACTCTCTCGTTTAAGCTCTCCTTAAATGAACGACAGAGATGGAACTCCAGCTGGAAGAGGCAGTGGAAGCATGGGAGGAACGGCGTTCTGGGAGAGACTGGGGAAATCTTTGGTTACAACAGAAGGAACTAATAAAAACACACCTTGGAAACCAGGTGAAGAAGCACGATCGGTGTGTGCTAGGAAGAAAGAGGAGGAGGAAAGAGCTCTAGAAATGGAACAATCAAACCTTCCTTTCCTACAGGGAGGAAGGGAGAGGGAAGAGGTGAAGGGAGCAGCGGTAATAAAAGAGGACAGCAACAAAAACAATGTAGGAGCTGAAAAAGAAATATCGAGATTAGAAATAAACTGCCAGGGCAGCAGGAATTGTCATCTCTGGTCCTTCCACAGGCCTGCTACTCCAGCCAACCTGCTTGGGGCGATGGGGCAGCACCCAGGACAACCCGTGCAGAGTGTAAAGGTCTAGGGACTGATGGCAGTTCCTGACTTAAAGTGGAGAGAGTCTTTAACCAGAAAAAAATCGAGAGTTCAAGGTGATATTCCTCTTGTTTTACAACATGGTGCATGCTTCTGAGTCAAAATACTATTTTCTACTCTTGATAGAAGATATGCCTGAATTAGAAACGGCTCTACAGGAGGGCAAAGATAAGCTTGAAATCCGACGAAAAGAAAGTCACCTGCCGGAAAGCACCTTCAGACATTCTAAAGAAGAGAGTCTGACTCCTAGCATCATCACTTTTCAGAAACCAAAGGAGACAGAGTAATTTCCTGATGTCGTAAGAACAATCCAAAATTACAGCTCTATAAACTGTAAGAGAAATCTGCAGAAGCATCAAAATACTGTACGGAACTTATCTGAAGATAAGAAACTATATTTTTATGGCTTTTTATTTCCTTTTAAAACCGCGCCCAGTGAAGTAGTCGGGCCTGAGATGACCTGACTACTCTAGCAGGCACCCTCATGAATACTTAAAAAACAACATCAGAGTGATAAGGCAAAAATTTGTGATTATCTCAGGAGAAGAGAAAAACTTCTGATACCTTCTCACACCCTTCCATGACTGAACACTTAGCCACAGGAAGAGAAGGGAAGAAACGGCCTCAGCCGGCAAGCACGACGGACTTCCTGGTCAGCCGTGCAGAGCAGCAAAAGCCCTGGAAGAAGGTACAAGGGCTGGAAATACACAGGCAAAATGCTTAAAGACAGAACACCAGAATTAGTAAGAGTTCAATATCATCTCTCAACTCAACATCAACATAGAGAAATAAAGTGATATATAGTAGCAATAAACAAAAAAATGAAATTTAAAACATCATATACATTAAAAACAGGTATCTAGGAATAAGTTTAATAAAAGATATGTAAAACTGTGAAGGGCAAAATTATAAAAGTACATTGAGAGCCTGGCCAGTGTGGCGCAGTGGTTGAACGTCAACCCAGGCACCAAGATGTTCCAGTTTGATTCCTGGTCAGGGCACATGCCCAGGTTGCGGGCCCGATCCCCAGTGGGGGGCATGCAGGAGGCAGCCAATCGATGTTCTCTCTCATCGATGTTTCCATCTCTCTCTCCCTCTCCTTTCCTCTCTCTCTAAAATCAAAAGAAAAAATACTTAAAAGAAAATTATTAAAAGTTAATTGAGAAATCACAAAGATATAAAGAAATGGATGTAACTTGGTATTGGATAAAACCTGATATGGTAAGATATGAATTTTCCTCAAATGTTCTACAGATTGAATGCATTCCAATCAAAATCCCAATAGATGTGTGTGTGTGTAACTTACAAGCTGACTCTATATTGTGTAATAAAATGCAAAGGACACAAGCTCCACCAGCTGTGTCATCCCACAAGCCCCAGTGGTTTCAGATCTTGAGCAGCTGCCATCCCAGATAACTTCTGCAACCAGCTGGTGTCCAAGCGACAGGAGTACCTCCTCACTGGTAGGGCTGCTCTCAAGCTGCCTGACAAAGAGAGGGCACTGGTAGAGATGGAGAGGAGAAGTCGGGGACAGTGGGAAGGTGGGGGACCTGTGCCTTCTCTGTTGCTTGGGAGTGTTCCCTTTCCCTAGTAAAACCTATTCATGCTTTGAGATATGGATTTGTCTCTGGACTCTTAAGCAATAGGTGGCTTCAACAAATAATCCACTTTGAAACCAGGTGGCAACCCCCAAGATAACACCTTGTATTTCACAATTTTAAAAAATTGTTTTAAAATAATAACAGTAAGACCTATATAGAAGGCATACCTCCCTTTCCTCCATATTCTCTTTATCTTAACCTTTAATCTTAAATCAAATGTCTTTAAAGTTTCTTTAACCTTTACCTTTTTTTCCTACAAGTATAGAAGGTAACTAGATTCGAACGATGGCTCTCCTTGACAGAAATTACAAGATAGCAGCACCTCTAACAACTGACAAGCCTAAAACAACTCTAAGTGCTTACAAGATGAGGCTAAGAGGTCTCTGAAGTTTCTAAGATCCTTTCATATGAAAAGGGAGAGTAAGCACCTCAAAAAAAAACAAAACCCAATGAGCTCTGGAAGCCTTGTGAGGCTCAGGGAGCCCCAAGTCAAATACAGCAAGTCCTCATTTAATGTCAACAATAGGTTCTGCAACGTTAAGTAAAAGGACATATAATGAAACCGATTTTACCCTGGGTTAATTGATATGAACACGAGTTAAGTTCCTACAGCATCTCATCAACGTTACAATGAAAGAACACTGAACCAAAGGACATTATTCAAGGACCAGAAGGATTGGGATTCTGTGATTCTCTTGCACCAGGCTCCCCCTGGAGTCACAGAGTCGAGCTGGATGTTGAGAGGAACTTCCCTGCATTCCAGCAGCCACCCTGGAGAACACCCTGACTGCATGAGCCTGGACGGTGACATCTGGGAATCCTGAGCCTCAAAGTCCTCTGGACGGCACTGCTAACAATGACGGATCTAAAAACACCCTCTCCATCGTGATGAAAACAGATCAATACAGAATCACGGCTTAGCAATGAGTAAGTAGTCTCCTAAAAGTCACTATCTCCCTCCAAGGGCCAAGGATTATAGGGACACCAATCAGCTGAAGGAAAACCAGGACCAAGCAAACCTGAGATGCACCAGCCTCCACCAGTGAGTAGCATTGGGGAGGGCACGTGCCGTGAGATAAAATAAATGTGGCAGCTCCTGTCCCCTTGCTGGCGACCTTCCACGTTTATCTGGCACATGAGGACACAGGCCATGCCAACGAACACGTTAACTTTGAACCACTTCAGTTCTGCCTGACAGTCAGCTTCCCTATAGAGCATCACCTGACTTTAAACTATGTTCTGATATCTTAGTCACAGCATTACTCTTAAGGAAAAAGATATACTTCACTAGCTAAATCAAAGCCTCTGCATCATGATTATTCCACAGCTTCACTCTCTCTGAACTACTGCCAGGAAACTCATTTTATAGTCAACATAAACCTATTTATTTCATTTTTGGCCTGACAGCCAGTCATTCTATAGACGTCACCGCCATAGACCAGAAAGTCTGTCTGGAAAGATGAACAATGATACAGGCCCAACAGTAATCTTTGTGTGTTAAAACTGGTAACAGATCTTAGCAAAATATCCCCAAAACGATCACACTTAAGTTATTAAATAAAAACAGGTTCTTAGGAATACCCCTAGAACAACAACAACCAAAAAAAAAAACAAAGAATGTAAAGGTGCAAAGGTGGTTAGAGATGTCCAAGACTCTTAGTTTTCTAATAACCCTGATTTGGGAGAGGAGGTACCTTATCCATGTGGAAGATCAAATCCAATTCACAAACATTTTCGAAACATTTATCCAGGGTCTCCACAAAAACCTAGGAAACATAAAGAAATAGGTAAAGAAGAGAAATAGGGACTATTCACATCTTCATAAATATCATGTTTGAAAGTACAGGGGCTGGTCATGATACTATTTACCTTACTATAAATCTCAAACAAAACAAAACCTTGCCACCATTAGCTGATTACCCTACTTACTGAAATTTAGAGGGGACAAGCTAGGACAGGGCATCCTTGTTTTAAACATTTTTTTCCCCCTTTATTGATTTTACAAAGAAAGGAAAGGAGAGGAAGAGAGAGAGAGAGAAATATCGATGAGAGAGAACATCAACTGGCTGCCTCCTGTATGCCTCCCACGGGGAACCGGGCCCACAACCCGGGCATATGTCCTGACTGGGAATTGAAGTGGCGAACTCTTGGTGCATGGGTTGATGCTCAACCACTGAGCCACACCGGTGGACAGAGCAAACTTGCTTTTAGTGTAGCTACACAACCGGCAGACATGTGGCTTTATTTCCCTTTATAAGATATTAATTTACATAAAAGAATAACAAATTGAAATACTACTTACAATACTATGTCCTTTTCCCCAGCTTCCATGTTTAACATTGTAAGTATTACAGTGTTAACATAGTTTTGTCCTGCTAATTTCAATTCACATTAATTTCAAAACACCTTTCCATGAACAACATAATTAACATGTTTCCAATTTTAACTTTTTAATCTAGCATCGAAACAGAAAAGTGTACAAATGATAAAGGTACATTTTACTGTTTAATGTATTTTCAGAATGAACATATTATGTAACCACCATCCAGATACTGAAATGGGATATCACCAGCTCCCTAGATGCCCTTACACAGTAACACTTCTCGAAGGCAAGCATACCCTGACTCATCATCACAGTTGAGTTTTGCCTGTCTTTCAATTTATATAGATGGAGTCATACACACACTCCCACTGGTTATAAATTCCTCTATGTTATTTCATGTCATAAAAGCTTGTTCATCTTCTCTGCTGTAAAGTGTTTCTGTGTAAGGGCATCTAGGGAGCTGGTGATATCCCATTTCAGTATCTGGATGGTGGTTACATAATATGTTCATTCTGAAAATACATTAAACAGTAAAATGTACCTTTATCATTTGTACACTTTTCTGTTTCGATGCTAGATTAAAAAGTTAAAATTGGAAACATGTTAATTATGTTGTTCATGGAAAGGTGTTTTGAAATTAATGTGAATTGAAATTAGCAGGACAAAACTATGTTAACATTAAAATTTACCCAATCTCCTACAGATGGGATATTTGCTTTCAGTTTTAGATTGGATATTAAATTGATATAAATGGAAATTATATTCCCAACCACTTTAGAAAACTATTTGACATAATTTACTAATACTCTATGACCCAGCAATTCTCCTAGGTACATACGCAACAGAAATGCACAGACATTTGCCAAAAAACAGACAGAATAATTTCATAATAGCACTATTCTTAACTCTTTGTATCTTAACTGTGACTGACGAGTTTCCTGTAAAGATAACACACTTAAACATGGGTTTACTTTTAATTACCGCGCTGGGTACTTTGTGAGCCCTTACAATCCAACAACTCTAAGTTCTTCAGTTTGGGGAAATGATCAAATAATTTTCAGAATCTCCTCCCTTCTAGGTTCCTAACCTTTTACGGAGCTGCTTATATTGGGGTACCAGACCTCCTTATTCTCTTATCTCTTCCCTCCCATTTTCCTCTCAGGGTTTTAATTTCTACGAGATCATTTTGTTTGTGTTTCTTGTTTGTTTAGGAGCTCATGTTTGTCTTCTTTTATTGCTCTATGGCTTAACGATAAGGGTTTGTTTGTCTTATATGTAATTCTTTTTCTGGATGTGGTAAATCATTTTCATTACCATCAAAAGCATAAACCATTTTAGAAATGTGTTAAAAGGTTAAAATTCATACAAAATCTGCTGTAAATGAAGACAAAGGTATAGTAAAATGCATCATTATCTGTCTCTTAAATAAAGTTGTACATACTTTCCATAAAAATCAAAGGTAGCCTTTTGTCTTGAACAACAATGCTGTCTCTACAATACTGTGCAATTCGGAACAAAAACATATTCTCTGAAAATTGTTTTCCATTTACTGTGAACCTCAATATTCCAAGTTCAAAGGCAGATAATAAAATCTGCCATTGTCTTGAATTTTGCAGGCTGTTTCAGACAAGCTGCAGTGAAAGCCACTGTTGAGACACCCAGTGAAACGTAGCCCGAACACTCGGTTTTGAAGTTTGAGAAAATTGGAGTAAAAAGTTGATCTAGGGTCCTGGCTGCTGTTACTAAGTGGTTAGAGCATTGGTCTGAGCAACAAAGGGCTGCAGGCTCGATTCCCAGTGAAGGGCACATACCTGGGTTGCAGGTTCAATTCCTGGCCCTGGTCGGGGTCATGCAGGAAGCAACCAATCAAGGTGTCTCTCTTACATCGATGTGTCTCTCTCTCTCCCCCACTCCCTCCCTCCCACTCTATCTAAAAAATCAATGGAAAAAATATCCTCAGGTGAGGATTAACAAAAATAAATAAATAAATGAATAAGATTAGGGTATTAGTCTGCTTGGGCTGCCATAACAAAATATCACAAGCTGTGCGGCTTAAATAAGAGAAATTTATTTTCTCACAGTGTTGGAGGCTAGGAGCTCCAGATCAGGGTCTGGCAGAATCCGTTTCTGGTGAGGGCTCTCCTCCTGCCTCACAGACAGCCTCCTTCTCTAGGTCCTTGAAGGGCCTTTCCTTGGTTGATGCACAAGGAAATAGAGAGATCTCTGGTGTTTCTTCCTTGTTTTATATGAACACCAGTTGTATGGGGTTGGGGCCCCACCCTTATTACCTCATTTAACCTACTTCTTTAAAGTCCTCATCTCCAAATACAGTCACATTGGAGGTTGGACTTCAACATATAGATTTTAAGGAACACAATTTAGCCCATAACAATTGGGTTCTCAAATAAGCTAGTGATACAGAATAAGATGGAATAGCTCCAGAAAAGACAGCCCCACAATTGGCTGGTGTGGCTCAATTGGTTGAGCGTTGTCCCATGCATCAAGAGGTCGCTGGTTCGATTCCCAGTCAGGGCACTTGCCCAGGTTGTGACTTATCCCCAGTAGGGGGCGTGCAGGAGGTAGCCCATTGATGGTTCTCCCTCTGTGATGTTTCTCTCTCTCCCTTTCCCTTCTTCCCTCTCCCTATAAAAAGGCAATAGAAAACATACTTTTTTAAAAAGAAAAGGATTTGTTAAAAAAAAGGGCAGTCATATGCATCTGTTTTTCCTAGAGTCTCAAAACACCATTATTTAAGTTCACGATCAAGACCAAGAAAGCAAAGAAGTCAGAACAGAGGCAAAAAGCATGCTGATGCATGAAGAGACTGAAATGAAGATACTGCAGGCTCAGCCAGCAAAATAATAAAGATGCACACGTAAAATTAAATCCTCTAAGAAACACAACTCTAAGGAAAATAATGACAAAGAACATTCGTCTCATAAAGGAAGAGAGTGACTAAGTTCATCTGAAAATGGCGAGGACACACACAAATGCAATGGAAGTCATCATGAGGCAGAAATCATTCAAGATCTCAATCTCATAAAAGGCGCCATAGAAATAGAAGCAGGAAGTGGGAAAACTCTCCATCCGGGAATAGGAAGCAGAAGAAATCATGATCCAGAAGCAAAAAAAACTTTGGCTAAGACCTCATTCCTGCTCAAGATCAAGGGGTAGCAACAGGAGTGACACAAAAAGCACAAATCAAGAGAGAGAGAGACAGGAATGGTTAAAATAACAAGATTTAGCAAAAGCTGAAGCCAGACTGCTAGCCCACCGCTCTGATTCAGAGGCAGAAACACAGCAATGGATGCACCAGAAGCTCTAGCTGGGGGGTTGGGAAGGGCAGAGAAATGACAAGAACAGTGGGAAAAGGAAATGTTTGAGAACAAAAACAAGAAGTAGCTATAGCAACTGGAGATTCTGTTCTCAAAGTTGCTGCCCTGTCAGTCCCAGGAACACAAGTAGCTCCTCAGATAGCGATGGCGGCTCCAGTGGCAGAAAGCAGAATATCCGCGTTAAGAGATTATAACCCAGCAGCTGTGAATCCAATGAAATGTCCAGAACAAGAGAAAATCAGTAAAATGCTTCAATGAGGAAAAAAACAAGGAGACAGCCCTGGCCGGTTTGTCTCAGAGGTTAGAGCGACGGCCTGCGGTCCAGAGAGACCCGGGTTTGGTTCCCACTAAGGGCACATGCCTTGGTTGCAATTTGTCCCTGGCCCTGGTTGGGTCGTGTGGGAGGCAGCCCCTCAATGTGTCCCTTTCATGTCGATGTTTCTCTCTCTCTCTCTCTCTCCCTCCCACTCTATCGGAACAAAAAATGGAAAAATGTCCTCAGGTGAGGATAAAAAAAACAACAACAAAGAGACAAAACCAAGCCTGTTTAAATATAGGATCGATTCAATTTTAAAAACAACGACCAAAATGTCAAATTTAGAAAATGAATGGGTATTGAGAGTGAAGATAAAGTGGATGTAACTTTGTTGATAAAGTGACAAGACTCTGAACAACAGAAAGTGTTTGGAAATCGAGAGGCTCAGTTTGAAGTAGCCAGATCACAAACCCACAAGCCGAGAGGTATGGGAATGCAGTGCATGTCTTCAGTTCGTGGAGTGGATGCCATTGGAAAAAGATCATACTTTTTTATTTTTTGTATCCTCACCCGAGGACATTTTTCCATTTTTTGTTCAGGTAGAGTGGGAGGGAGAAAGAGGAAGAGAGAGAGAGAGAGAAACATTGTGGGGGACACATCGAGTGGCTGTCACCCGCACGACCCATCCAGGGCCGGCACAAACTGCAACCGAGGTACGTGCCCTTAGCGGGAACCAAACCCGCGTCTCTCTGGACCGCAGGCCAACGCTCTAACCACTGAGCAAAACTGACCAGGGCGGAAAAAGATCAAACTTTTAAAGGCTGAGACTTTACAGACTTCTTGTTGTAATGCTAGGTCCTCATTCACTGAACAGCTAGCATTTTAGCTGGCATGGATGTCACACTTTAATTTACTGAAAAATCTGATTCTCACACACACACACAAAAAGGTAATTATGTGGAGCGATAAGAGGTGTTAGATAACGCTATGGCGGTCATAATTTTGCATTATATATGTGTGTCAAATCAACAGGCTGTACAGCTTAAATTTGCACAATGTTATATGTCAACTATATCTCAATGAAGCAGAGGGAAAAAAAACTATCATTCTTATAAATATAAAATCATTCTAGCCCTGGCAGGTATGGCTCAGCGGTTAGAGCGTTGGCCTGCAGTCCAGAGAGACCCAGGTTCAGTTCCTGCTATGGGCATGTACCTCAGTTGCAGTTTGTCCCCGGCCCTGGTTGGGTCGTGCGGGTGGCAGCCACTCGATGTGTACCTTTCACATCAATGTTTTTCTCTCTCTCTTCCTCTCTCTCCCTCCCGCTCTATCTGAACAAAAAATAAAAAAATGTCCTCGGGTGAGGATAAAAAAAAAATCATTCTAAGTTCCTCCGGGGTTCACTCATATGACCTTGACCCAGAAGGGGCTCTTGCAAACTCTCAGAGGTACTGAAGCCGGGCCTTGATCGAGACACTTCGTTCAGCTTATCATCTCTTAGGAGCTTTCGTCTAAAAGTGGTAAACTAACACTGTTCAGCTTATCATCTCTTGGGCACTTTCATCTAAATCTAAAAGTGGTAATTTCATCCTGGCCGGTTTGGCTCAACGGTTAGAGCGTCGGCCTGCGGTCCAGAGAGACCCGGGTTCGGTTTCCGCTAAGGGCATGTGCCTCGGTTGCAGTTTGTCCCCGGTCCTGGTTGGGTTGTGAGGGTGGCAGCCACTTGATGTGTCCCTTTCACGTCGATGTTTCTCTCTCTCTCTCGCTCCCACTCTATCTGAACAAAATATAAAAAAATAAAAGGGGTAAATTAGCCCTGGCCAGTTTTCCTCAGTGGTTAGAGCACTGGTCCATGGACCAACGAATCGTGGGTTCGATTCCAGTCAAGGGCATGTATCTCGTTTGCAGTTCATCCCTGGCCCTGGTAGGGGTTATGCGGGAGGCAATCAGTCTATGTGTCTCTCTCACACATCGATGCCTCTCTTTCTCTCTCCCCCCCTTCCCTTCCCTCCCATTCTATCTGAAGATAAATAGGAAAAAAAATATCCTCGGGTGAGGATTTTAAAAAAATAAAAGTGGCAAATTAGTCCAGTTGGTGTGGCTCAGTGGCTGAGCATCAACCCATGCACCAGGAGGTCCCTGGTTTGATTCCCGGACAGGACACATGCCCAGGTTGTGGGCCCGATCCCCAGTGTGGGGAATGCAGGAGGCGGCTAATCGATGTTCTCTCTCATCCATGTTTCTAGCTCTCTCTCCCTCTCACTTTCCTGTCTCCCTAAAAAAAAAAAAAATCAATAAAGGAAGAAAAAGAAGTGGCAAATTACCCTTTATTTACACAGCTAAATTTGTGCTTAACTTTTTATCACTTAGGAAATATACATCCCATGGTCAACTATAAGGAGAAGTAAAGGAATGATAACTCAAAAGTCTGAGGAGAGATGCAATAAATGAGGGACATACAGGAGCTTTAAGGGACCAATAACGTACTGTTTCTAATCTGAGGGATAGCTTCATTTTATTGGCAGTCTTTAAGCTATATAGGCTTTTTTGCATATTTTTTTGTACATAGAGTATGTTTCAGACACAAAAATAATTTATAGAACAATAATTTACTGGGATTCTGACAGGGTTTTCAGTAATTTAAAACTTAGAAGTACTGACATTTTAATGAGTTTTCTCAACAGGCAAAAAATATGTTTTATTTCTTTATTTTCATAATCAGTAGAGTTTTAAAGTTTTCATCATATAGCCCTTGCACATTTTTTACATTTATTCCTGGTTAGCTTATAAACCTTTCTGCTATTGTGAGTGGACCCCTTTTAAATATTGTTTTCTAATTTATTATTGCTAAAAGAAGGCTATTAATTTTTATATGTTAAACATATATCCAATCCCCTTACTGAACTCTAGTATTAGTTAATTATTTTCCAGTTGTTTTAGATTTTCTAGGTAGATAATTTAATCTGCAACCATCATATATTTTTAAGGCTAGTAAAGCCAATACCCCATTACTGCCCTTTTTTCTCCAAAACATACTTTTATATTTCCTGCCCATTCATTTTTCCTGATAAATTTTCCCTTTAAAAAGTTCTGTAAGATCTACTGGCATTATACCTGGGTTTCCCATTTAGTCTGTTGATTACTACTGTCATTGTTTGACTCTTCCCAACAAGGGGAAGGCTTATAGCTTTATTTATTTCAAATTTCCCTTATGTGCATCCTTTAAGATTTTACAATTTTATTGGAATCAAGGTCAAGTATTCTATACTAAGTTAATTTCAAAACACTAAATATTCTTTGTCACTACTATAAGTGAAATTTCATTAATTATGAATTTTCTAGCTGTTTTTGCAGAAATAAAAAATTCAATTTTGATAAATTTATCTCATATTCTGCTATTCTGTTTGTATCATTCATTACTTGGGATACTTTTTTCTTTTTCCTTTTTTTTTTATCCTCACCCAAGGACACTTTTCCATTTTTTGTTCAGATACAGTGGGAGGGAGAGAGAGAGAGAGAAACATTGATGTGAAAGGGACACATCAAGTGGTTGCCACCCGCACGACCCAACCAAGGCCGGGGACAAACTGCAACCGAGATATGTGCCCTTAGTGGGAACCGAACCTGGGTCTCTCTGGACCACAAGCCGATGCTCTAACCGCTGAGCCAAACAGGCCAGGGCGGGATACTTTTCTCTTTTTAGGTTTTCTAGGTATATAATTAGGTCATCTTACAGTGATAACTTATCTCTCTCCCTTTACTATGCTAATTCTTCATTTACTTATTTATTTTTTTAAGTTTTTTTTTCCTTTCTTTATTGACTTTAGAGAGAGGAAATGAGAGAGAGAGAGAGAAAGAGAGAGAGAGAGATAAAAACATCAATAAGATTGGCCACCTCATGCATGCCCCCACTGGGGATTTAGCCCACAACCTAGGCATGTGCCCTGACTGGGAACTGAACTGGCAACCTCTTAGTGCATGGATTACTTACTGAGCCACACTGGCTGAACAGGGCTCATTTATTTTTATATCACTTATTACAAGTGCTTGCTCCAACTGAAGTAAATAGTAAGATACAAGTTTTACATGAATGCCTATAGATTTCACCCCTGAGATAACACTGCCTCTGGCTCTTGGTTTTAAAACTAAAATTGGCTTCTTCTAAGAAAATAAACTAGGAGTAATAGAGAAAAGTATTTTTCAGTGTATACTTTTGGTGTGCCTTTTGAATTCTGAACCACATAAGTGCATTATTTCTTCAGCAATAATCGTTCATGCTAAATAAATAAACAGGCACTAAATAATAAAATAAAAATGCTTCCTATTTCAATGTGAGAATATTTAGGAATATAATTAGGATGATCATTTCTCTCTTTACTGAGAGAAAAAGAAATTATTAGTTTCCACTAAGGTGAATTGTGGGAAATACCTAAGGGTGAGGGTCTGGTTGCCAGGGGAACCAACCATATGATGGGAGGGTTTGCAACTTTCAGCGCTCCCCTTCCCCTCCTCCCTGGAGGGGAGAGGAACTGGGGGCTGAATAAAGTACCAATGGCCAGTGGTTTAATTAACCATGCCTATGCAATGAAGCTCCATGAAAACCAAAAGGACGGGTTGGTGAGCTCCCAGGCTGGTGACCAGGAGGCTTGGGGACAGCGCTGTGCCTGGAGAGGAATGGCAGCTCTGTGCCCTTTCCCCACACCTCCCTCTACACATCTCTTCCATTTGGCTGTTCTGTGTTGTATCCTTTCATAATAAACTGCTAACCTATAAGTACAACATTTCTCTAGACGGTTCTGTGAGCCACTTTAGCAAATTAATCAAGCCCAAGGAGGAAGTCATGGGAAGCTCTGATCTGCAGCCAATCAGAGAGAAGCACAGGTGACAGCCTGGTCATGTGTTTGGTGTCTACCTCCAGATAGATAGTGTCAAAATTGAGTTAAATTTATGGGACACCTAGTCAGTACTGAGTTAGTTGCTTGGTGGAGATGGGAAAAAAACATACACACTGAAACCGGTGTCAGAATCTTACATAAAAACCAAGGGCAGTAAGAGGACTGGGTGGAAACCAACGAACCTAAAAAGTTCTTAGTGTTTAAGGAGCTTTCTCATAGCACCATCTGGTGGACATTTGGCAACTTTTACTAATATCAGTGTATATAGAGACTCACAAAAGAATCTACAGGATGGCTCCTCAAAAACCCAGGGCAAATGCTCTACAGTGCCTGCCATCATCGGCTGACTACACATACCTGAATGAGGTCCAAGATCCCAAGTTCACTCTCTGATGAATCCACACAAAATACAAAGTAGAGGGTAGCATAGTGCCGATAAATCAGTTTGTAGTCAGAGCCACCAATCAAACTGTGGAAGACAGGAAACATTTAAATGCTTATATCTTAATTAAACACATCAAGAGAACCTCTGTCCCAGGGAATGAGAATTAGAAAGGAGGAGGATGGGTCAAAGAATAGGCCAGTTCTACCAGGTGAATGCAAACAAGTTTCTAAGTGGTGCCCCTCCTCCCAGGAACCAAACCTCTAAGTGAGTAATATCTGAAACACAATCGTTCAACAGCTTCCAAACAGAATCAAGTCTTTCCCTCAGCCAATACTAGGGTCATGTTAGGGCCAGTTTCAGCTGCATTGGGTACCAACCTGACACTTGAGTACTGCCCCAAGAAGCAATGATGATGAAGGCCACCCAAAAGTGGATATATGAGGCCCAGCCAGTGTGGCTTAGTGGTTGAGCATTGACATGTGCACCAAGAGGTCAGCAGTTTGATTCCCAGCCAGGGCACATGCCCAGGTTGTGGACCCAATCCCCAGCAGGGGGTATGCAGGGGGCAGCCATTGATGTTCTCTCTCATCAATGTTTCTATCTCTCTCTCCCTCTCCCTTCCTCTCTCTCTAAAATCAATAAAGAAAAAAAAAGTGGATATATGAGGAAGAAACTGAAAATGATCATTTACCTTCCACCCTCTAAGAAGTTACAGATGTTGTCATCCCGTTTGAGAACTAGATGGAAGGTCTCTCGAACAATCTGCTGTTGAATTTCTTCTGGCTACGGAATAAAAGAAATAAAGTGAATCAGAGGGGACAACTGAAAATGCATCCCACTGATGGAGATGAACAGGGAGAGAAGTGCTTCCAAGCTAAGAATGATCTGAACATTTGGTACCAGTTTCCAGAAAAGATAAAAATAATGAGTAAACATAAAATGGGAATCTATGGAAAAATGGACAAGGCTCTGTTACAGGAATTAGACAGGGAATATTCACCTAGCTAGTCACTAACTATTATTGTCCTGATAGATAAGCTGATATTTCTTTTTTCTTTTTTTTTTTATCCTCACCCAAGGATATTTTTCCATTTTTTGTACAGATAGAGTGGGAGGGAGAGAGAGGAAGGGAGAGAGAGAGAGAAACATCGACGTGAAGGGACACATCGAGTGGCTGCCACCCGCACGACCAACCAGGGCCGGGGACAAACTGCAACCGAAGTACGTGCCCTTAGCGGGAACCGAACCCGGGTCTCTCCGGACCGCAGGCCGACGCTCTAACCGCTGAGCCAAACTGGCCAGGGCTGATATTTCTTTATAGTTAGTAATGAACAAAAGGAGAATCAACAACTCTCAAGCAAGGTGAAAGAATCACCAGAAGGCCTGGTCCTGAAATATTCTGTCTTCTTCTAGAAAACATCTATGGCAGGGTAAATAACGTCAGTAGTCTAACATCTTAAGGGGGTCAAGAGGTAATTGTGCACGTTTCAAAAAACTGCACTTGTCATCTTTTCCACCGGTGATATAGGAATTACATATAAGGTGTGTTACTGACAAAGAGAGAAAGAGTTCTATTTACAGTAAGAATTTTGAATAACCACAGAGCTACAAATACTTTTTTTCCCACTTACTACATCTGAGAAAGCTCAACTGTGATGGAATTTCTTGATAAATCACATTTGATTTGTTAATACATATAAGGTTCATAATAAGTATGGTTTAAAAAAAAGGATGGGAGTGCCCTGGCCGATTTGGCTCAGCGGTTAGAGCATCAGCCCATGGACCGATGAGTCGCGGGTTCAATTCTGGTCAAGGGCACATACCTCGGTTGTGATTCGTCCCCAGCCCTGGTTGGAGTCGTGTGGGAGTCAGCCACTCAATGAGTCCCTATCACATAAATGTTTCTCTCTCTCTCTCTCCCTCCCACTCTATCTGAACAAAAATGCAAAAATGTCCTCGGGTGAGGATTAAAAAAAAAAAAGATAAGAGTGAGAAACCAGTCATTATAGAAATAATCAAAAGCTCTAGACCAGTGCTCTCAAATCTCAATAAATGTGCAATAAATCACCTGGGAATATTATGAAAACGCAGATTCTGATTTAGTAGGTCTGGGTAAGTCCTGAGATCATTTCTAACAAGCTTCTAGGTGGTATCAATGCTTGCTGGTCTGCTGACCACACTTTGAAGAGCAAAGCTTAAGAAAACCTTCAGACTGGACTTGCCCTAAGAATCAGAAAATAGATTCAAGAAATGTTAACCCCTTTCTTTCTGCAGCACTTAATTTATGCTTGAAATGGTTAGTTATTTTTAAAAAATAGAGGTAAAAACATGGAAGATGTCGTGGAGACATTGTTTTTCATAACTTTGACTCGACATGAATATACAGGGGCTCTCAGTGTTTACTGAATGGATGAATGAAAACTTGCTGATCACTAGCTCCAGTAAATTTGAATAAATCAACCACTTACTTTCCTGGTTTTCATTTCAAGAAGCTCACAGATGCCAGGAGTTAAAGGATTATCGGGAATACAGAACATGCTAAGCATCCTCACTTTTTTAATATATGTATGTTTTTATTGATTTTTTTTTAGAGAGAGAGAGATAGAAATATCAATGGGAGAGAGAAACATGGATCAGCTGCCACCTGCATGCCCCCTACTGGGGATCAAGCCTGCATCCCAGGCATGTGCCCTGACCAGGAAAGGAACTGGGACCTCTCAGTCCAGGGGAGGATGCTCAATCCACTGAGCCACACCGGCCAGGCACATCCGCACTTTTTTAAACTGACAAAAATCTTTCAAACTAAAGCCTTTTATCTGACTCTAGGGGGAAGTGGCAGCAGTCAGTGGGGAAATGGTATGAAATGGTGAGGCTACTTAATTTCTAATTCAACAAAAAGGAAAACTACCAATTGTTTATAGACCTCAATTATTTAATAATCTCTCATATCCTTCAGTACTCTGCATTTCTCAAGGTAATTTTCACTCATGAGCTAACATAGTTCTTATAAAAATCCTATGTTCTTAAAAGAAGATCTACAAATGATTAATAAGGACATGAAAAGATGCTCAACATCACTAGTCATTAGGGAAATGGAAATAAAAACCACAATGAAAATCCACTTTACACCCACTAAAACATTTTTAATCAAACAGATAACATGGGTTACAAGGGAGATGGAGAAATTGGAATGCATTCACTGCTGATGGGACTATAAAATGGTTCAGCCACTTTGAAAAAATTTGGCAGTTCCTCAAAATGTTCACCATAAAGTTACCATATGAACCAGCAATTCTACTCCTAGGTATAAAACCAAGAGAAATGAAAACACATGTCCACACAAAAACCTGTAGTGTAAGAATGTTCACAGCATCATTATTCACAAGAGCCATAGGTGGAAACATCAACTGCTGGACTATCAAAAGATGGTATATCCATACAATAGAATATAATTTGGCAACAAAAAGGGATGAAGAACTGATATACACTATAGCATGGATAAACCCTGGAAACACATTGGACTAAGTGAAAGAAGCCAGTCATAATAGACCACACATTATGAGTTCATTTATATGAAATGCCCAGAATAGGCAAATTTGGAGAGACAGAAAGTAGATTAGGGCTAGGGGATTTGAGGGGGAAAAAACAGAATAATTTGCTAATGGGTAGGGGTTTCTTTTTGGGGTAATGACAATGTTCTAAAATTGTGGCTATGGTTGCATAACTTTGTGACCCTACTAAAAACCACTGAATTGTACATTTTAAATAGGTGAACTGTATGGTATGTGACATATCTCAGTAACACTTAAAAACTGTGGGAAAAATTCACACACACACACACACAAAAGCAAACACAAACTGAATAGATATATCAAATGCTAATATTTTTACCTCGATATAATTATATAATAAAATGTAATCTAGCCCGGGCCAGTTTAGCTCAGCGGTTAGAGCATTTACCCGTGGACCAAAGAGTCCCGTGTTTGATTTGGGCCAAAGGCACGTACCTCAATTGCGGTTTGCCCAGGGCCACGCTTGGGGTCGTGCAGGTGGCAACCAGTCCATGTGTCTCTCACATCGATGTTTCTCTCTCTCTCTTCCCCACTCCTGCTCTATCGGAAGATAAATGGAAAAATATCCTCAAGGATTTAAAAATATATATATAATCTAGCTAAAAATTCTATGAAAAAGCTAGCTTTTTTTTTTTTTTTTCTCACTTCTACTTGGCAGAAGAGGAAATAAAGTCTGAAAGAGGTCCGTTAACTTGTCAATAGACACAAAGGCAAAAAAGGTGGAGTTAAGGCTTGAACGTAAACGTTCCCTTTCCCCTCTTCGGTTTCACCAGTTGTATGTAGCATTTTGAAACCTAGCCAGGACGGAATAAAACGTGGGGGCGACAAGAGGCAAACAGTGATGCTTGTGTTTTTCCGGAGAAACACTTCTGGAAAAATCCCTCGTTCGCGTTATCATTGACTGAGCCCTCGCGCGGCAGCATGTGGTTTCTCATCTTCCACTTTTAAACTTCGACTCTATATAGAGTGAAGGGCATCCTCCCTGCACAGTCCCCGTCCACAGCAAAGCGAGATGAGTCCGAGAAAGCACTTTTCCAGGCTGTGGCTAAAGCAAACATCCTTTAAGAGGCTGCGTTTAAACGCGGTTAAAGTGACTTAAACCTTTCAAGTTCTCAAGGAGGTACACCCCTCTCCCCCGTCACTTACAGAGCCCTGAGACCAAGGACAAGTGTCACAAAATGACACAGAAATGCTGGGGTCCAGGAAGGGGTCAGGGACAGACGGAGCAGCGCCGCGCGGGGCAGAAAGCCTGACACTGGCCCCGGCTACGGGAAGGAGGGTCAGGGCTGTGAGGGTCACGCACGGTGCAGGAGCCCGAGGTGGGGGCCTAACAGAGGGGAGGGGACGCAGGTGCCCTGAAGGGACGTGACGAAGCTGGGCCGCACTCACGAAACGCTGGTAGAAGCGGACCAGCCGCGGTTTCCCGTGGTTGTTGAAAACCAGAATCGCCTGAATCATCGCTGCCAGACACGCTTTTCTTGGCACTGACGCTTCCAGAGAACATCAACTTCCGCCACAACACGGGCGCTTCCGGTGGGTGCGCCGCTGAAAGTGGCCGGGGGAAACTTTCCCCTGCGTCCAGGGGCCGGGCCGCGAAGAGTCCGGCTTCCCGGCAGCCAGCGGTGAGGGCTAGAGGGAGGGTGGCGGGCCCGCCGGGGGAGGGCCGTGGGCACACCGAGACACACAGGTTGGGGAGGGTGGTCACCTCGGTCAGTGTCGGTTGGTTAGTCTGGCCCTGGCCAGGACACGAGCTGGGATCTGTGCCCTTGGCCCAGACCCGCCGCTGGCGGCATGGCCGGCCCAGCGCAAAGCTGAGCGCGTGGGAAAGCAGGTCCCCACGCAGGACTCCAGCCCACAGCCACGTCCTGCGACGGGCGGCGGGGGCCTCCCCTTCTCAGGTCTGCATCAAGACATAATGTCCTGCCTTCCCGGTTTGAGATGCCAGCTAATTTAGCCATCCCCCAGTTGGGGCACATTAAATTCATTTTAATTTTTCAGCATCCCACCCAGATAATTAACGGTGGAATCAAGGGATAGCTAATGCAATCCCATTTAAAGGGTACTGACCTAGGTCCTTGGCTAAGGCAACTAAATAACTCCATTTTTTTTTTTTTTTATCTTCACCCGAGGACATTTTTTGATACTTTGTTCAGATAGAGTGTGAGGGAGAGAGAGAGAAACATCCACGTGAAAGGGACACATGAGTGGCTG